GAACAATGCTTTTGTCTACTATGTTGTGCCAATTGAACTTAATGTCCCCTGCAATCATGGTCCCAAGCCAGCAGACCCAGTGACTCACTCCCTTAAGGTGCTTGGTCGTGACTAAGAGATTATCCTAACTTTGTCCTCTGTTAGCTGTATAATGTATATGGACATTTTTACAGCACATAAAATATACATATGTAGGAATATCCTCTGTCAAACCTATGTATGGTCATGACTATATTCCTGTTTGCCTACCCATACCCAATCTTCCTGTCTATGTATCCACCCATAGATTAGTATTTATTACTGATAATGCAGTATTGTGTATGTAATAGTATTTACCTGTTTTCTGAAACTTTTGTGCACCTCTCTGTCTTTCTTTTCGTTAGTGATATTGTGCTGGTCACACACATTCGTTATATTGCCTTTCTCTTCACCCAAATCAACACGTCTCTTAGTTAGTCAGCAATTTTCCCTCCCCTCCCGTTTCATCTTTGGTAACCAACAAAGAAATTTTCCTTCCCTGTATAAACCTTTCCTTGACTTTTTATGCTAATGAATTCATACAATATTTGCCCTTCTGTGATGGACTTGTTTCACTCAGCATAATGTCCTCCAATTTCATCCATGTTATGAGGTGATTCGGATTCTTCGTTATTCTTTAATATTGCATAATATTCCATTGTGTGTAGGTACTATAGTTTGGTTATCAGTTCATTTGTTGATGGGCACTTAGGTTGTTTCCATCTCTCGGCTGTTGTAGATAGTGATGTAATGAGTATGGATGTGCACATACCTATTGATGTCGTGGATCTCACCTTTTTAGGATATATTTCTAGCAATGGAATTGCCGGATCAAATGGCACTTCTATGTCCAATTTTTTAAGGAAGTGCCATACTTTTTTTCCACAGTGGCTGTACCATTTTACAATCCCAGTAGCAATGTATGACAGTCCCAATCTCTCCACACCCTCATCAGCATTTGTTGCTTTCTGTCTTGTTGAACTTTGCTATTATTACTAGGATGAGAGTATATCTCATTGTTGTCTTGATTTGTATCTCTCTAATGGCTAATGATCATGAGCATTTCTTCATGTGTTTGTTGCCTACCTGAATATTTTCTTTGGTGAAGTGACTGTTCATGTCCTTTGCCCATTTTTTAATTGTACTGTTTGCCTTTTTGATTTTCAGGTGTTGACATTTTCTCTAAATTTTAGAGATAAGCCACTTGTTGGATATGTCATTGCCAAATATATTTTCCCAATCTGTAGGTTCTTTTTTTCACTCTTTTGGAGAAGCTTTTGATAGACATAAGAATTTAATTTTTAGAAGGTCTCAGTTATCTAGTTTTTCTTCTGCTGTTTGTGCATTTTGGGTTATGCTCGATAGTCTATTTATTCCATAAATTAGGGCCCCTAGGTTTACCCCTATTTTATCTTTGATGAACTTTGTAGTTTTGGGCTTTACATTTAGATCTCGGATCCATCTGGAGTTAGTTTTTGTGTATGATGTGAGGTATGGATCTTGTTTAATTTTTAAACATATGTATATCCAGTTTTGCTGGTACCATTTGTTAAAGAGGCTATCTCTCCCTCATTTAATAGGTATTGGACCTTTGTTAAAGATCAGCGATCCATAGGTGGATTCTCAATTCTGTTCCTTGTCTCTGTTTCTATCTTTGTACTGATACCAGGCTGTTTTGATTACCATAGTTGTATAGTAGGTTCTGAGATTGGGGAGGGTGAGACCTCCAACTTTGGTTTTCTTCAGTAGTGCTTTGCTTATCCAAGGTTTCTTTCTTTTCATAAAATTAGTGACTGGTTTTCCCAAGTCCTTAAAGAATGTTGATGGAATCTGTATTGGGATTTCGTTGAATATATAGATTGCTTTGGGTAGTATTGACATTTTCATAATATTCAGTATTTCTATTCTTTGGACTTTTTTGTAGCCAGGTGTGATTGAGGATTAAGTTTCAATATAATCAATGCTATTGGCTTATCTAGATATTTTATTTCTTTTCGAGTCAATTTAAATAATATTTCCTAAATATATATATTTTTGAGGTTGCTATTGTAACTCCATTTAACAGATGAGAAAATTATGTCTTAAAAGCAATGTTAAATTAATAGGCCAACTAAGCAAAGACTTGGGGCACACAAAATAGGGGAAAAAACTGATATTTCAAGAAAATCCTCTTGGGAAAAATATGGTCTTCAATGAACTTTGTTGCACATGGTTATTTTTTTCAATTTTTTTTATTTTTTATTGTGATTTGGGTGAAAATTTACAGAGCAAATTCACTTTCCATACAGCAGTTCACATACACTGTCTCATGACTTTGACTACAATTTACCATAATGCAAAAACTCCCCTCCCACTTCCTCCCAATAGTTACCAATACTCTTCCCTGTGTCCATCTCTCCATGCACTCCTGCCCCCCTGAGCTGTCTTCATGTGCATAAACAGCCCTCCTTTCTCTCATGATTATTCACTTCAAGGAGTGTATCTACCTCAGGTAAATGTTCAACTCATATGCCTGTCTTTTGTTTGGCTGGAACAAACACCTGGCTACAGGTGTGGGTTCAATTCCAGACCTAAAGGGCAGCTAGGGGCCATAGTCTCAGTGGTCCCATCAAGCTCTATCAGACCAGCAAACCTGGTCCCCTCCCTTTTGTTTTCCAAATGATTTTGAGTTTTGTTCCACATTGTTCTCCCTCTCTATCCAGGATCTCCTACATAGATCCCCCTCCAAGTGGTTGACAGTGGTAGCCGGGCACCATCTAGTGTTCCGGTCTCATGGTTGTATAAGCTGTGGATCGTATGGTGTACCAGTCACTAGGACTAATTCTTTCCACGAATCCTTGGTTTTCTTCATTCTTCTTTGCTCTGGATGAGGAGAGACCCATCGTTGCATCTACATGGCTGCTTGCAAGCTTTTAAGATCCCAGTTGCTACTCATCAAAGTAGGACGTGGAATTGAGCTTGATGTCCCCTGTGACTATGGTCCCAAGCCACAGGTTCAACTACTCAGTCCCTCTGCATAGCTGGGTGTGACCAAGAAGTGACTACAACCTTGTCTTTTGTCAGCTCTACTATATACCTGGGAATTCAGATCATATAAATACACTCATAGGACAATTGTCTGCGAACTCTATACATGGTCTTCAGTACACTATGTCTATGTTTCATAGACATACCTAATAGTTCAGCCTGTCCACCTATCTATCCATCCATATACCCATGTTTTGTTGCATGTGTTTTAAGGCTTAGATTTTGTTTTTATTTTGAATCACTTGGCGGTGCAGGATGGAGTATTATAACCCTTTTAGGTCCTTGGGCCCTCTAAAGTGAGGTTGCTAGATTTAGCAAATAAAAAAATATAGGATGCCATTCAGTATTTAGGGCATATGCATGCTAAAAATCTGAAATTCAAACTTCATGAGTGTCTCCTCAACAAGCCCCAGTCAGCCTTGCTGAGAGAGGTAAAGTAACCAGAGGAAGGACTCACAGTGAGTCAGGGATGTTTGGTTCTGTGAACAGTTATAGGGATGGGGTGCCACGTCCATAGCAACTCCTCAATCTGTGTTCTATGTCCCAATCTTTTGCCTTTGTCACCAAATGTGTGGACTAAGGTCTAGAATGTCCAAGCCCACATCTCCTGCTGCAGCTGGTCTCTATCGAAACATGGACAGAAAAACCTCCCGTGGCACAGTGAAAAGTTTCTTGTGCATTTCACTGCTGTCTGTTCCTGAGACAGCAAATGCCCCTTCCCTAAGTTGGCTGTCCAACAGGGTTGGTTTCATACTGAATTCCTATATTGACAGGTATTACAGCACAATCAGCACTTCCACAATTGGCTGCTGCCTCTCTGGAAGAATTTTTTTCACACATATATTTAATCATGAGGGAATTACAAATTTCGAATGTATCAGCCAAAAGGCACAGATGGCTCCAAGGCTCAGAGACACGACCCAGACACTAAAGAGGGACAGGGACAAGGACCACCGTTACTTTCCTTATTTACCCAATTTCAGTCTCTAACAGACATAAAAATTAAATCTGTCATCTTGCATTTTGGAAAAGTAGGTTATTGCTAAGAGAGGTAGAGACCATGCTTCAAGTAAGCATTTGAAAAATGAAATAATTTGTCTGAAGCGTATGGGATAGTAGCCAATTTGACCCCAGCATGGCCCCAGAGCAGAACTAAAATATATTTGGAGGGAACAAAATGAGATTTCAGAAATCTAGGTTCAAAACTGCTTAGTCCATTAAAGGAACATACCAGTGTGGGTTTTAAATTTTCTGTCTTTTCAAACTGCACACATCCTCCCAGAAAAAGAAGCTAACAAAGGAAAGCTGTCTCATTCCAAAGGAAAAGGAGGGGGACAAAACTGACAATAAAGGAAGAGCTAACTAATTACAATAGCATTTTAAACTTTTTTGTTTAGCAAAATGCTGTTAAGCCAGGTCCTGACAGAAAAGGGATATATCAGAAGGAGGTTCCATCTTCTTCTTTTGTTCCTTTTGCTTCATATGACTTATCTAAAAATTCATGGTGCAAATTGCTTGTGCCCTATGCTGGAATTGAACCAATGGTTTTACTTTTCTTTTGTAGAAACTAGAGCTTACAGTTTTGATAAGGAAATGAAAGTATTCATACTCTGTTCTAATCTGTTATAGTCTGTAATGGTATTTTATTTTTAAAAGCTCAAAATGCAAAATATGAAATACTGTCAGGTAATCAATAGAACATTCAATGTTTACATAGTTTAATAATTAAAAAAAAACTTAAAAGAGAAAGCCAATTAATTAAATGTATGTCTTGAACTATTTAATAGAGGTATTTGTTGTACACATTGTTTTATTTTAACATAAGCACAATATTTTTCTCGGGGAACATGGAACCTGAGTTGGAAATGAAATCTGAAAGGCAGAGATTTTAATTCACAAAAGTAACTCTCCTCAAAATATACCCAATGATTCCCAACCAAAGATTTTCTCTGAATTCAGGGCTCGGCCCCAGGACAGGAATGAGGGAAAACCCCTTGAAGGTGGAAAGATTTGCTGAAGTCATAGGATTGTACTTGTGGGCCCTTTGACAGAGTGAGTTTCCTCAAACAGCCTTGGAATGAGGTGTGGCTGGTCAGGCAGTTCTGCTTTACATCAGCTATTTGGGAAAGAAGGAAGAGAGGGTAAATCTTGCTTAATTTTGTTGAAACGGCATAGATTGCACAATAGAGACAAAAATAATGTCAAGGTTTCTGCATCAAAATTAGAAGAATTTCTTTCCACATTCGTGGCTTCATTCAATAGTGGAATTCACAGGAAACTTTTAATTATAAAGCATAGTTATGTTAAAAATCATAAAATAAATGTTTATATTATTTTCATTTGTAACAATTACTTGGAACAGCTGAAATATATGATTCTAATCCAAAATCAGTGTGAGATGATAAGACCCACATTTGTTCTTGAAAATGATGACCTATCCTCCTCAGTAAAGCCACCAGCTTACTTTAAATCAGATCCAATGTTCTCACAGTCTTATATAAGGTTCAACTTATGTGTGTAGATCATTTTATTTTTTCTAAGAACTAGATACTTGAACTAGCCTTTCTAAAGGAAAAGGATTTGTCTCTCAAGCTATGTGTCTTCTTCAATCCTTCTTTACCTTCCTGAACTAAGACTCTGCTCATTGGCAGTGAAAGGGCAGAGCAGGTAGCATACGTACCAGGATAGCCACCAACATAAATGGGATTGTTGGTGTCTGCCGAGGTGGACTGGGCATGTGGACTTTCAGCACGAACTGCATTTCCATCAACAATCAGAACCACTTGGTGTTTGCTTTTGTTAGCTTGAAGTGTATGCCATTTCCCATCACAGAGAGTACTGGTAGCTTTGGGCTCATATGTGGCTGTTATCCTACCAGCACCATTGTTCACATGAAACAAAACCTAAACACACAACAGACACAAATAAATAGCTTCGTGATTTTTTTCCTTATTTAAGAAACATAAACCAAAAAACCAAACTCACTGCCATCGAGTCAGATCCAACTCATAGCGACCCCTCCTTTGGTTTCTGAGGCAGTATCACTATGGAAGTTGATTGCCCAACCTTCGTTCCGAGGTGTGGCTGGTGGGTTTGAAATGCCAGCCTTCTGGTTAGCAGTCAAGTGCCTTAGGCACTATGCCACCAGAGCTCCTTTAAGAAACATAGTCCATTTGTATTATACTCTTGGAATGGATGAAATTGTAGTATTCTGCTAAAAAGGAGGGCTAACTATTACAAAACAAACAAAAACAATCATTCTAAAAAGTTTTCTCTTGAAGGATCCTATACTACTCTTAAAATGTTCAAAAGGGCAAATGGCCACCTCCATGGGAACAAGCCTGGGCCACTCTAAGAAACATCCTCACAGTATGTTTGATGCCTAGGATATCCTAGAATAGGGGGGACAGGATCTAAACTCTTATATCCAACCTCTTGCCCTCTTCTCATATTCACATCTAAACCAAACTGCCTTTACATCATATTATCGCCTCTCTACACTGTGGTTTATAGCCCATTTTTTTCTCACCTATACCATAACCAAAGGAGCTCTAGTGGTTAAGGCATTTGTCTGCTAACCAAACAGTCAGTGGCTCAAACCCACCAGCTCCTCTGCAGATGAAAGATGAGGCAGTCTACTTCTGTAAAGATTTACTGACTTGGAAACCCAATTGGGGTTGCTATGAGTTGGAATCAACTCGATGGCAGTGAGTTTGGTCTAGTTTTTGTATACCATAAAAGAATTTTGAAAATCTTTGTATCCACTTACAAATTTTTATGACATCTCTAAAACTTTATGGGAAGTGTAATGACTGCCAACAAAATGTAATTTCTGAAATATTTTACATTTTATCACTATTATTGGCTGGTTACTTATTTTTAAAAATTTTTTTTTAATGGTTGCCCAAGAGTTTATAATATACATCTTTAATTTTTTACAGTATTCCTTCAAATAATACTGAGCAGCTTCACATAAAGGGAAAGAACCATAAACTGTATATTTACAACTCTCCACCCACCCTACACTCATTCTTTTGCAAGGCTTAGATTTTTTTGTGGTACCGCTTGCTGTGGTAGGGCATCATAAGGGGATCAGTACATGTGCTTCACAGATGCTATTAGCTGGCATTAATTGACACTTTCAGTGAACCTATCAGCTCCTATTGTCCTGAAAATGGGGCATTGATTTGAGCAAGATGCTAGCTAACACTGGGGGAGGCAGGGTGAAGCATGCATGGGACCTCCCTGTATATTTAATTGCAACTTCTTATGAATCTATAATTATTCCCAAATAAAAAGTTAAATATATATTGAGGGAGAGCTCTGGTGGCGTAGTGCCTAAAGCACTTGACTGCTAACTAAAAGGCTGACAGTTCAAACCCACCAGCCACTCCTTGGAAGGAAGATTAGGCAATCTACTTTTGTAGAGATACCACCTCGGAAACTCAAGGAGGGGTCGTTATGAGTCTAAATCAACTCAGTGAGTTTTTTTTAAAATATATATATATATATGTATATATATATATGTGTATATATATATATATACATATATATATACATATATATATATAGGGAGGATGGGCATCAGTGGACAACCTACTCATTGATGGTTCAGAAAAAAAAAATATCTTTGTACTGTAGGTGCAACTTTGCTGTAAATTCAATTTCAAACTTATGAAATTTGTTTTAAACAGCCTTTTAGGATGATCTGTTTTAAAATATCTATTGACCTTTTTGTCCACTCCATTAAAGTAGATAATTAGATCTAGGTATTTTTACTGTTTCTCAACTGCTCTGTCTGTGACACTGAGGTGCAGGGACCCCATCAAGATTAAATACTTACCTTGCCACTGACAATCTCTAATCCAATGGCATCCACTCTGGCGCTGCTGATCCCCAGGAGGACACCATTCATTGAGGAGGTACGGAACTCGAGGCTGATGTTTACATCTGACCGGACTTTGTAGCCCTCTTTCACTGAAATACACAAGGACAACACAGAGTAACAGATGAACCTTGCCTCACCCAGGATCATTCAGCTCGCAGGGAAGCTGTGGGCTGTGCATTTCTGCTTCTGACTGAGGTTCAGCAGACTTGGTTCTAGCTTTTCCTCTGGATCCAGGTCATCACCAAAAGAAAGTCACTTCTAACCTCTGTATCTGTAAGATGAATGATGTTTTTATAGAATGGCCATCACATGCAACCCACTGGGAAAAGCTAGACTAGACCAAGAACAAGCATGTCCTTTCAACCATTGCCTGATAGGCACTTGGCACCCTGCACAGGCTTGCATTTTGGATGGGTACCAATGTTCCCTTGCTCTATAGATACTTTCATATTTCAACAGTCTTCCCTATATACTGATGGAGGAAAAAAAAAAAAAAAAAGCACAGAAAACGAAAAGACCCAAAATATAAATAGGATTTGATCATATAATCCCTCATCATGTATCTGGAGGTTCATTTTATTTTGCCAGTGTCTACACACTGGATATCTCCATTTACTGAATGTATCAGTCAGAGTCCACATTAGGATTTTTAGAAGTAGGAGTTTAAATGAGAGAATTTTCATTCAGGTGACTGAGAAGTCAAATAGGGGATATTAGCAATAGCAGGTGGTGCTTCTTATCCCCAGGGCTGAAGGAAAGTGGGAGAAGGTAGTGATAGCGGAGCTTGGAATCCATGAGGGAGGGGTTGCTCAGCAAAGGCCAGAGCTCTAGCCAGGGAGTGGCTTCCTAGGCCACCAGAGGAAGTAAAGAGTAAAGAAGAGATGTGTACTAGCTTTTCCCTTTCTTCCACCTCCCAACCTCTGCCAGAGCCTTCCTAGAAGCCACAGGGCAATGGAGCCAGAGAAATATTGCTCCTGTGGTAGAAAGCAGAACAACGGCAGAGAAGAGCATGGTTCTTTGTACAAACAGGAAGCTAACTTGCAAATCAAGTATATAAAATGGGAAAGCAATAGTCAGATACATTACATAGGCCAGTTCTAAGTCCTGAGGAATTTATATTCTAAGATATTTCAGAGATTTAAATTCTATCTCTTAGAAACTGATTTTTTTCAACAATCTAAATGGAGTTAATGTCTTCATGAAATCTGCCTTGTGTTCAACTTGCTGGTCTATATATTTCATGTGGCTAATTTTTATTTCAAAGGCCATTAGGACTTGGACAGTGAGAGTGTGCCTTACATAGATTTGGGGACAGGACAGATGAAGCCAGCATCATGTGTCTGCCCTCTGCCAGGAGTCACACTACTGCTGATGAGAGGAAGGGCTGTCAGGCCATCTGGAGTGCACAAGAGGTGAGGAGGCTTTTACATTAAATGCCAAGAAATTAGAATAAACTGGGACACTTAACTGGATGTGGTATTCCTACAGCCTTGCCGAGTCAGATCTTGTCTTATCATATAATTCTCGGACGCATATCCTCTTAAGAGCACAGGCTGATTCCAAAGGTTTCTTTTGAGACTGTTGATAATACTTACCAAAAGCAGCATATCCACTTCCTTCAAAGAAAGTTCCTTCCTGGGCCACAGCATAGCACTTGTTTACTGCAAAGGTAGACATTAGGCTATCCTTTTCCAGTGGTTTGCTGTTAATGGTCACCTCCCCAATGCAGGCAGGGATGCTGTGGGTAATCTGAAACAAATGCCATGTTAGAGTAGATGGGGGTGATTATACTACCAGGGCAAGGACACATTGTTTTCCCCTATACTTCATCACAGTTGACTCGTTCATCAAATTAAATTAAAATATTATCTTCTGTTCATCAAATTAAGTTGCTACAATACTTCACATGAATGTCTAGTTCAGAGCTACCATTTGAGTCTTTTTGCTGATAATGCAGTAAAAGTGTTCTCTATTATTTCAATTAAATATTATGGAAAATCAAGAATGCTGAGTTTACTAATCTATAAATATAAATGTGATGGCCTTTCCTCATTTGTACTGCGACTGGGCAGCTGAAGAAATGGAAAAGTCCATTAACTAATAGGCAGGAAAGCCTGGGCAGGCATTAAGGGGAAGCCACAGAACACAATCTAGGGACATGGTTTGAAAAGACATGCCTATTGTAGCCAAGCCCTGGTGCAAGCAAGGCAATTTAACCATAAATATGTGAAGAACTACTTCTCTGCAAAAAATAAACATAATCATACTAAAGGTAAAATGGGCCCTCATACAGAAAAGATGCTTACATTTCCAATATTTTTGGCCTTGTACTCAGCAGGAAGGCCTCCCAGGTAGAACTTTCCTTCCACATCCAATGTAGTACCATCTCCCACTGTGGTCACCACTGGGGATTCTACACTGTCAACAGTCATGAATCCCTTTCTTTTAATGTACTCTGTTGTGACCTAAAACAAAATTATAACATCCATGATTTTTAAGGAACCCGATGAAGCATTAACAGATGTTTCTTTGCAACACCTGGTAAATACAGTTGTAAGAACCTGAACTAAATTTTAAAGGATGGGACAGGGTTTCACTCAATTGGTATTGAGAAGAGCCTGACCCTGGCAGAAGTGAAGACACAGGCTCTGATAAAGCATGCTTCAGAACAGAACATCTTCCAGAGTCCTGTTTATCAGAAAGCAAATTCCATGAGCTCAGTTCTGGTCTGTCTGTACCACGGTGGATTTTATTTATATCTTGTCAAATAGAGGGCGTTTTTGGTACCTTTCATTCCTTCTGAATGAATATTTTTACTGAGGGCAGTAAATACTGTCAAAGCCCCAAGGGTACTTTAGGAAACAGAAAAAAGCTCCTGCCTTCATGGAGCTTATACTCTGTGGGGAAGATATCAGACCAGAGCAGGCTAGACATCCCAAGGGTTCATTCCAGCTCAGTGAAATGGAGTGAACAAAGTGAGAGGTCGAATAAAACTCAGAGCATCTGATCACAAACCTCTGAAAAACATACCGTGTGCCACTGGCCGTCATTGAGCAGTGTGGGGTGCGACACCTTTGTCCTGCCTTTGCCAAGGTCAAACATGAAATGGAGGTGGCCCCCATGGAGCTGTAGTGTGGCATAATCAACCTGGTTCTGATGAGCCATGTAGTAAATCAGACCATTGGAGGCAAATGTTCGCAACCTGAGCTGAACTGAAAGCCTGAAAGAAAATAAGAGCTCAGCATTCAGGAAGAAATCAGCTTTTACTCTTAATTTTTAACATAACCTCAAAGGGAGAACTCAGTATTTCAACATTTATATATAAAAAAGGAAGTGGGAGGAGAGAGATTCATTCATTCATTCATCTGTCCATTCATTCGACATGGTCACTATGTACTGACATATGCCAGGAACTCTTCTAGGAGCTGAGGATAAAGCAGTGAACAAAAGAAGAAGATCCTATCTCTCCTGAAACTAATATCAGGAATATACTGGAGAGTTCAGAGTGCTGGGGAAAGAGTGAAGATTGGATTAAGCAGAGGAGAACTGGTGGCTATACAGAGTAGTTAGAGCAGGCATTTTTGAGAAGATGATGCTTCGGTTCAAATTTGAATGACAAGAAGGAGCAAGCCACACAAAGCTCAGCAGCCACACGGAGCCTCCATTTTCTTTTAGAGCAATACAGAATATATTGGAGGAAGAGCTTAATAATGGTTCACAGCCAAGCTTCTGCAACAGTGACCATTTCCACAAATGTGGAAAGAAGGTTGAATCTGAGAGGTATTCCCTTAGAAGGAAGTACAATGTTACAAATACACAAAAGAACAGAGAAAAGGAGATGTGGTTGGACCACAGTAGGTGAGAGGGATTTTAAGTGCAGTGGGAAGTCACAGGAGAGTTTTAAGAAGGGGTTGGGTGTGGGTGTGGTTTAATTTACATCTTTAAGAGATTCTTCTGTCTTATGTGTGAAGACTAAATTGGAGCAGGCAAGAGTGGTGAGCGGAGATGGAGGGACCAGACAGGCAGCTGTTAAAATAGTCCAGCAGATCCAAGATGGTGGCTTAGACTATAGGGCAGTGTTAGTGGAAACGAGGAGGAGTTAAACTAGCTCTGAAATGTTCTAGAGGAAAAAACAATAGGATTTACTGATGGAGTAGGAAAGAAAACAATAAAAAATAACCTCTAGATTCAGGCCATGGGCAACCAGGTGAATGCAATGATGTCTATGAAATGGCAAAGACCAGGAGAGCAGCTTTGAGGAAGATCATGAATTCTCTTTTGGTATATCAGAGTTGAGGTGCTTATTTACATTTACATGGGGCTGTTGAATGGCCAGTTGGTTATACATTCCAGTGTATGTCAGGGCTGCAGGTGGGCATTGGGGCATCTAGTTGGTACTTAAAGTTATGAGACTACAGAAGAATACGTGGAAGAGGCTTTGGGACTCTCTCTGCTGGAAGAGAAGACAGCCAAGAAGACTGAGAAGGGCAGGCAGAGAAATACCAAGAAAACCAGGAGAGGACTTGAGTGGCCTAGTATAAGTAATGCTGCTGAGCATCCAATAGAGAAGGCACCATGAGTGTGGCCACATGTAGGTCTTAGATAACGCCAAGGAGAGCAACCTGTGGAGTGAGGGGGCGGCTGACAGGATGGGCAGAGTTGAGGATGACAGGTAAGGAAGGGGCAGACAGGTGCTAACAATAACTCCTTCAAAAAGTGTTACTGTGAAACAGAGTCTGGATACTGTGTATGTGTGTGTATGGGGGAGCACAGTGGAGAGTTTCTGTTTGAAAAGTCAGAGACTGATAGGCAGTATAGCATAAAGATTAGAGCCATGGACCCTAGAGGCACACTGCCAGCGTTTGAATTCTTACTCTACTTCTCACTGACTGTGTGATTTTGAGCAAATTGCTTACCTTCCCTGTGCCTCAATTTCCTTAATTGTAAAATGAAGATAATAATAACAACTTCCTTATAGGATAATTATGAGGATTAAATTAGTTATGTTGAGGTAAGGTCATCAGCTGAGGTACAAACAGAGGCTGTGAGGATGTATAGGAGTTTAGAAATATGAAAAGGAGCTATGAATAAGTCATTATGGGAATTAAAAAAATGAACATACTAAAGAAATCTAATTGACTCCTGTGTAGTTTAGAGAAGGTGCTCTGGTGATATAGTGGTTAAGGCATTTGGCTGCTAACCAAAAGGTTCATGGTTCAAACCCACCAGATGCTCTGTGGAAGAAAGATGAGGAAATCTTCTGTAAAGATTTATAGCCCTGGAAACCCAATGGGGATTGCTATAAGTTGGAATCCACACAATGGCAGTGAGTGTGGTGTTTTGGTTCTGGTAGTTTAAGGGCCCATCTGATATGTGTGGTCATACATTCAAAGTTCAAACCATCAGGAATGAGATATGCATTCTCCAACTTTGTTCACTAGTTTGGGTTCTGCCATAGAGAAAGTAGATTTATGAGTTACAACTGAAGAAGATGAGAGGGTTAAGGGAGTTTGCGAAGGAACACATAATAACGGCATGGAATCTTTCTGGGCAGGAGATTCATTAGAATGCGAGCAACAGAAGACAGCTGATGGAAAGGGTTAACCACTTAGAGGTCAGTAGAGAAGAGAGCTAAAAGGATGAGAAGGAAAAGGCTAAGCAATTGGATGCTTAAAACAGAATTTTGGAGATGGGTGGACACTTATGGAGAGTTAAGAGTATGGCTATAGAAAGAGGTGCTAAGGAGAAAGTGGAAAAGACTTTTGATGGGTTGAAATCTGAATATCAGGTGTTGGGTGCCTTCTGAGCTCATGGAAAATGATGGCAGGAGGCATAGGAAAAAAGGCACTGAGCCAAGCAAAGTTTGAAGACAGGTGACCGGGGTGGTGATTCATAGATAAAAGTGACAAGGAGGTAGAGGCTGAAGGCATGGACCTTAGAGAAGCTGGAGATGTGAAGGAGGAGAGAGGAGAAATGTGAAGCTGGGAACCTTATCTAGCCAGGCCTTGTAATTTGTAGGGTATGATATGGCTTCATGATGATGGATGTTGGGGACAAATAGGCATCAGGGCCGAGGGACCATTCAGAGGTACAGGTGTGGCATAGGAATCTGGGGGCACAGTAGAAGAGTTTGGGTAGACAATTAAATCAGGTCAGTGAATGTTTAAAAGAAAAAGAGGGTGGAAGTCCAAATAATGATAGATCTGGGAGGCTTGGGATTCTGGAAGAAAGACTGATTTAGGTAGACTCCTATGTGCCAGCCATCATCAATAAGGGTGAAGACAAGAACAAGAACCTCACATTAACCTATTTCTTTGCCTTCTCATTGCTGCCATTTGATTGTAAGTTGAGCACTCTGTACTAAAGAAGATCACAAGAAGCTTCTTTTGGAAAAGATTCTGTTACTGAAAACACTTCCCAGATTCATGTAGCAAATAGATGCCTCATTGCCACGATAAAACAATACCCACCTCTTTCTAACAGCAGACTGATCGAAAGGAAACACAAAATGGCTATTCTGTGCCAGGCCAAATTGATGAGCATTGGGAACAAAGTCCGGGGCTTCATCCACTGTACATTGTCCCTGAAAGAAAGGCACAGGGACACTCAGCCCTCCACAGCCAGACCTCATTCATAATGTATATGTTTCCATGACAAAAAACATCTGAGAAGCAATCATCTCAAACACCAACAACCACAAGTCCTGTTTACACTCATTTAATCTTCTCTGGTTGAAATAATTCAGTGAAGCTATCCCTTTATTGCTCTGGGAAGGCAATTTGAGCTTCTTTGTTTCATCTTAAACTGACTCGGATTCACTTAAATTCATAAGGATACTGGAGCCCCTCCCACAAATTCTTAATTAGGTTTGAGGGACAAAGGCCTTGCTGTGCCCTTCGGGGATGGCTGAGGACAGGACTCTGGGAACCACCCTCAGAACAGAGCAGCGGTGGGAGCCCCAGTGCCCAAAGGTTACAGGTGTCTAATTCCACACATAGAGAAGCCTGCAGACAGGCTTATATATATCTGCTTAGATGCTATGGCAGAGGTTCAGAACCTAGAGAAGGTGCCTCGGCACTACCAGGTTGGCTCTACAGTTCCCTGCTCATTCTGAAAGCACAAGTCCAGTGAGAACACAGACTGTTTTCTGGCCAGGAGGCAGCAAATGCTATCATCAAAATTGTTGCAAATTCAAACATTGGCCCTGCTTGTAAGGTACTACTTTGTGGGTCACTGAGCCATCATCCAAATAATTGGAGTGCATGCTTTCAATCAAGGAAATATGAAAATTAAAAGAGAAAATAAAATGAAACATAGAAGTGACTGCCATTAAAAATACTTGGTCAAGACAAAGGAGGCAGCTGTCCATGTAGGCAATTAGCCGCACATTCCATATCCTACTCCTATTCCTGACTCTCCTTCCTCTGTTGCTCTAGGTGCACAGAGACCAATAGACGTGCTTTGGATAGCTATTAGCAGACTTTTAAGACACCAAGAACTAACCAGTGAACCAGGAGGTAGAATACAAACCAAAAGCCCACTGTCATCAAGTTGATTCTGACTCAAAGTGACCCTATAAGATAGAATAGGAATGCCCCATAGGCTTTCCAAGGCTGTAAATCTTTATGGAAGTAGACTGCCTTAGCTTTCTCCTGCAGAGCAGCTGGTGGGTTTGAACCTCTGACCTTTTGGTTAGCAGCTGAATGTTTAAACCACCACACCACCAGAGCTCCTTAAGAGATAGAATAGACGTACTATATACATTACATATATATTACTAGGCCAATTAACTGAGCTGTCTCATGAAACCAAGACTCTAAACCAAATCCCAAGAGATGTTGGGTTGTACTTAAGCAGCCTCGGCAGTTGCATTGTTGTTGTTGTTGTTTTAAATATATCTGCCATGAGACCAGAAGAAATGGATGGTGCCTGCCTACCATGAGTGAATATTTTGATCAAAGATTCTATAGAAGAATCCTGATCAAAAGCAGGGTAAATGCAGAACAGAATTTCAAATTCTCATGGAATCCAGAATTTATGGAGTCATGGAGGTTAGATAAACTCCCAAAACTATTGCTCTGAGATCATCTTTATATCTTACACCAAAAATAACCCTTGAAGTATTCTTAAAACCAAACAATAGTTTAGTTTAACTGGTGGCATAGTGCCTAAGGCATTTGACTACTAACCAGAAGGTTGGCGGTTCAAGCCCACCAGCCACTCCTTGGAAGGAAGGTTGGGCAATCTATTTCCATAGTGATACCACCATGGAAACCAAAGGAGGGGTCGCTATGAGTTGGAGTCAACTCAATGGCACATAACACCACCAACAACAGTACAGGATAGCTTCCTTGATCACTGTCTTCCTTTAAGATCTATCTATGTGGGATGAAATTGACAATAGCAACTTGAAAGATTAGATAGGAAACTTAGGGGACAGTGAGTTTATATTAATGTGGGAGGAACTCAGAAAAGGAAGGTGAAAATGGTTGTACAACTCTAAGAATGTAAATTCATGCACTGAATTGTAAATGTAGAAACTGTTCAATTGGTATATATTCTGCTGTGTATACTCTCAACTACAACAATAACAACAAAAATATTATAAATGAAATATTTTGTCAAAACTGGCTTTTCCAATGTAAGTCAAATCTTTCATTTTTTATTTTTTTTATTAGGATTTGGGTGAAGATTTACAGAGTAAATTCACTTTTCATACAGCAGTTCACATATACTTTGTCTCATGTCATTGACCAAAA